GGAGCAGGAGGCTGCACTGGATGATCTCCAGAGGTCCCTTCCAACCCCAGCCGCCCTGTGGTTCTGTGTGTGCCCGTGGCCCTGGCTCCRGGCGGTCCGAGGGCCGCGGCTGCTCCCGGTTCCCGGCAGGATGGTGCCGGACACGTGCTCGGCTCTGCCGGGGCAGCCGCTGCCTCTCTGGGAAGCGGGAAAGGCTGGGCATGCAGGAGGGCCTGGCTGCTGCCCGGGGGCTCCCTTGGTTCCCATCGGTGCCACACCGCCCACCTCAGCTCCCGGCACGTGGCTGACCCCGATATCTTGGGTTTCTTTGGTGTTTTAGGGCTTTGTGGTTGTTTCTACTTCATCCCATGTGGATGTGGCCATGGCAGCGATGCAACCAGCCGGGCACGGGCGCAGGAGAGGACAAAGGTGGTGGCCACACAGGGCATTTGGGGGCACCACGTGCCACCCCGCTGGTCCAGCCACCAAACCCGCCTTCAACCTCTCCCGTTGGGGCAGCACGGAGCAAAATGCAGCTGCGTGGAGARAGGAGCAGCGCCGGATTCGTGTGCGCTGCGGGCGCCGGGGGCCGCGGCTCCTCCGCCCCGCGGTGCAGCGATTGCCGCCGATCCTCGAGTGCAAATCCCAACCCGTTYGGGTCCTCGAGAGCTGTCAATCAGCCGCCGCTTATCATCCTAATCAAACGCGCTAAAAATAGGGATGAAATGCATTAGCAGGGGGAGGGCGTCAAGGCAGACCTGCGCCCTGGTGCGTCCTGTGCATGCTGAGCGCTGCCCGCGGCGCTGCCCGGCGAGAGGTGCTYGGGAGCAGCAGCTCCTGCTCCCTGGCACCCGTTTCTTTCCCAGTGCTCCCGTCGCTGCCCCTTGGCTGGCACGAGCCCGTGCGTGAAGGTCAGGGGCTGCTGCTGGTGTCACCTGCTCGGAGCGGGGTTAAATGACAGCTCGGTGAAAACTCCTGCRGTCTCTGTGAGGGCACCTGCCTCGGGGAGCATCTGAGGTGCTKCCTCTCCTGCCAGTGTCTTTTTTGGGTGCGTTTTGGCCCTGGATGAAACGGGAAGCCTTTTCCTGGCCTTTGCCCATGCCAAGACCCACAGGAATGCTGGAGGAAGCAGCGATTTGTAGTGTTGCACAGCAGAGAATGCGAGACTTTGAGGCTGGTGGCGAGGCTGCTGTCCACCCTGTGCMTTTCCAGCTGTGACCCAGAGCCCTGCCCGGAGCTGCTGTTTCAGCGTTTCCTTCCAACTCTTCTGAAAACCTTGGTAAAAACTTGATTTTCTGGCTTAATCCAGCCCAAACAGTGCGGATTGCTGCAGGGACCCCTTGTGCGGTACCATGTCCTCGTTGGTGGCAGTGGCRCTGAGGTCCCCGTTGGTAGCAGTGGTGTCAAGGTCCCCCCTGGCACCAAGGTCCCCATTGATGGCAGTGGTGTCAGGGTCCCCGTTGGTGGCAGCGTGTCCCACAGACTGGGTGTAACTGTTGCATCCTGGAGCTGGGAATGCCGGGTGCCTGAGYGGAGCGCGGCTGGAGCGCAGGCTCTTTGTGTCCCCCGGGGCAGTGGCCGTGGGCGCCGTGGGGAGGCCGGGGCGCCGCGCTGCCCCCGCGCCCTTCCCGGGTGGCGGCGATGAAGTAGAGCAGAGAATCGTCCCCTCTTCACACATGAGAGATCAGAGCGGGCGGCGCGAGCCGCTGCCCCGGGCTGGGGGCACCAGGAGCACCAGGAGGAGGAGGAGGAGGAGGAGGAGGAAGGGAGGGAGCCGGCGGCAGGGACTGGGGGCTGCCGGGGTCGCCCTGACCTTCCCCTCTGTCTCGCAGGCTTGCAGGCATCGCCGTGTCCTGAAGGGAAAATCGCTCCCAGGCTGCGGAGGGGTCGGGGCTGGGGCTGAGGTGTCGCAGCAGCGCTCRGGTGTCTTAGGTGTCTCGGGCAGCCTCCCTGCCCAGGCACGGAGCGGAAGCAGCGGCCGCTCCTGCGCCCGCAGGCACGGCGGCCCGGCCGCGCCGCACCAGGAATGCCGGCCGCGCCACACCAGGAATGCTGGCGGCGCTCCAGCCGTTCGCTCCAGCTCGCCCTGCGCCGCGGGGAAACCCGGCCCGACTCCTGCGCGGGGCAGACGGGGACGGCGCGGAGCCCGGTGCTGCTGGCACGGCCAGGGCAGCCGCTCACACGCCACTTGGGAAGGGCATCGCGCCCGTGGCGGCCTCCCCGCGGCGGCTGGGATCCCAGCACCAATCCCGGCCGGTGCCGGTGCCGCCTGCAGCGCCGCGTTGCTCCGCGCCGCTCGCTCCCGCTGGCAGCGGTTTATTCGGCACAAGCGGAGCGGGCGGCGGGGCCGCCGCCGGCTTTGTTGTGTGGCCGCGGGCTGCAGTGCGGCGGCGCGCCGGGCCCTTTGTGCGCGGCGCGTTCCTGCCGCCGCCCGCACTGAGACCCGTGGGGCCTCCCCACGCGGCGCGAGTCGCGGCAGCACCAGGAGGCACCCGGGGGCCTCTYTTGGGAGGGTCCAGCCCCTTTGGCCCCCCTGGGGGTTTCCCTTTGCTTGCTGGGGTGGCAGGGGGCACCCACATGACTGAGTGGCAGAGGTAGAGCTTTCCTTGGRGGCACCTTTTGGGTGCATCCCAGGGGCACCCCGGGGACGTTTTGGGGTTGCCAGCCGAGGTTATGTGCAGGGCAAAGCGAGACAAGTCCGGCGAGACGTTTAGGTGCAGAGCTGTCTGCAGCGTGAAAACGCTGGGTGGCTTTTGCAATGCAAAACCATGTGGCGATGCTCGTGGCTCTCCCAGCGCGAGCCCACCCGGTGCTGCTCGTGGCTCCCGAGCTGCGCCCTGGAGGGCACTGCCCGCTCTGCACTCACGGTGGCTGGCGCCGGTGGCTGTTCTGTGCTCTGTTCGCCTAAGGGTGGTCTCACCTGGTGCTCCTGTGGGCACCCGCTGCTCCTTCCTGTGCCAGAACCTCCAGCACGTTCCCCTTCCGTGGCTTTCGTGCCTTGGGAGACCCAGTTTGAGGCTCATGGGACACCCAGCAGCTGCTGGGACGGAGCCGGGGCCATTTACCCTCTTCTGCTGCCACATTGGGGTCCCGAGACCACGTGGGAGGCAGAACCATCCATAAAGCCAGGGATAAACGGATAAACCCAGCCCTTGAAATCCCGGTTGCCCTGTTCCCCAAGCGGAGAAGTCGGCGTTGGTGGGAGGCAGCCGCGTCTCCCTGCCCGGGGCCCATCCCGTGTCTTTTCCCGCTTGGGGAAGTGCCGCTGTGGGGAAGCTCTGAGCCGCACGGGTTGTTCATGGCCGCGTGGGCAGTCACGAGCCCCGCGGCCGCCCGGCTTCCCGGGACACTCCGTGTGCTGGACCAGGAGCGGCGGGCACGCGCCGGCCCGAGGAGCAGCCGGGCTCCCATCCCACGCTGTGCTGGAGGCCTTTTCCCGTTGTTCCCGAGCACCTGCTCTTCTCCCAGGTCCTGTTTCTGCGCCGGGTTTTGGCAGTGCGGTTACTTGCAGGGCAGCCCCTTCCCCTGCTCCTGCAGACGCCGCAGGGGGCGGTTGGCAAACGCAAGGCTTTCGTGTCACGTTGCCGTCCCGCCGTGCTCCGAGGCTCCCGAGCCCCTTTCTGTGGGACACCAGGGCACCTGTCCCGCCTCACGGGAAAGGGTGGAAAGGGCTGGTTCCCACAGCCGAAGCCTGGACAGGGTCGGATGCAGCCAGTGCGGTTCTGGGTGCCATGCGTGGCAAATGAAGCCAACCCGTGCACGAGTGGGACCGGGACATTCCCATCCCTCACAATCTGGGAGCTGGAAGCAGGTAGGTGAAAGCCCCGGATCCCCAGAGCTGCTCATAGGAACAACCTGAGCTCCCGTCCGAAGCCAGGTTGGAAAAACATCTGTGTGGGGAGGCTGATCCCTCCCTTCCCACGTGCCCTGGAGGGGCCTGCGGCCGCCTCTGCCCTTTGCCCCCTTGTCCTCTTGCATTAAAGACATTCCCCTGGTCTCCTCCTCCTCCCTTTTCCATCCTGCCACGCGTCATCTAGCCTAAATATTTCCTTGCATAGCTTCGGGACACTGCTCTGTATCTGCCATCTTTGGAGACTGCAAATAATTCCCTTCCTTCATTTATATCATTACCTTGAAGGTATTTATAGAGCGTGATCTTGAGTGGAAAGGAAGGCATGACTATATATAAAGCAGAGATCCCTTGGTCTTTAGCTGCTGGCTGCCTGCAACTGTTGGTGATTGAAGCCTTCCTCACCCGCGCCGTGTCCCAGAGCTTTGTCTGCTGCCCGGTTTGGACGTCAYGGTCACATCCTTGGTGTTTAAATCACCCTGAGGAGGGAAGGGGGCAGCTCTGGATAGTCTCAGTTTCTGCCCTCGGGTTAGTCCAGGCTCACGAATGTTGCCCTGGKCCTTGGTCCTCCTGCCCGTGCCTCCGTGCTGCGATAGGAGCCGTTGGGTGTAAGGAGGGTGACSCGTGCGGGTGCCCCCGTGCAGTGCGTGGTGCTCTCAGCGCCCGCGCTGCTCGGCTGCCGCTGCCACCCCGTGCTCAGGGCGCTGCTTGGGGGCTGAGGGCAGCGGGTGCCGCATGCCAGGACCAGCCCGGGCATTGGGACCAGCCCGCGGCCCCGTTGCACCAGGACGGGAGCTGTCTGCGCCCTTGCCCTGCCCGCCGTGTCTCACCTCCCTCGTGCCCGCTTTGCTGCCCGCGCTCGGTGTATTCTGCTCTGCTGCTTTGCGTGCGCTTCCCCTTGGCACTTGCTGCTCGCCTTGTGTCCCTCCCACCCCTGAACATGGGACATGGGAGGTGGCCTGAGCAGGACCAAGGGGCAGCGTCACCCCGGGGCAAGGGCAGGACGGCCAGACTTTCCGGCAGCTGATCCTTGTAAAGCCTGCGGCGCTTTGCTTTGGTTTCCTAGTGGGCAGGCGTCTGTTGCACAAGCCTCAGGAAGTGACTTCTATTTCTTTTCCTTAAACAAACAAAATAACCCCAAGTTTTTGCATGTGCCCGTTGCTCCCTTGCAGCCCGGCGCCATGGGGAGCAGCAAGAGCAAGCCCAAGGACGGCAGCCAGCGGCGGCGCAGCCTGGAGCCCGCCGAGAACCCCCACCACGGAGCCTTCCCGGCCTCGCAGACGCCCAACAAGACGGCGGCGCCCGACGCCCACCGCACGCCCAGCCGCTCCTTCGGCCCCATGGGTGCCGAGTCCACGCTCTTCGGGGGCTTCAACACCTCGGACACCATCACGTCGCCGCAGCGCTCTGGGGCTCTGGCAGGTCGGGGCGGTGGTGGGGCTCTCCACGAGCAGAGGGGCTTTGGGGATTAGCGGTTGGGGTTGGTTTGGGGTGGRGTGACCGCCTCCTTTTGAAGGACTCTGTCTTTGGGTTCTTTTATCAAGAGAGGGAGSTTGATAAAGGAGGGATCTGGTTCCTATGAGCTGGTTGAGGACGGTGGGAGAGGAACAAGGGCTGCCCCAACCCTGCTGTGCTCCCTTGGTGTGGGTGCAGCTGGATTATGCCGTGGGGAGCGCGGTCCTCTTGAGCTTGGGTCTTGTTYCAGGCGGAGTCACCACCTTTGTGGCCCTCTACGATTACGAATCGCGGACAGAAACGGACTTGTCCTTCAAGAAAGGAGAACGTCTCCAAATTGTCAACAACACGTAAGTGTCCCGTGGGGCAGCCTGTGCTGGCGCGGATGAGCTGGTGCCTTGTCCCCTTGAGGAAYCCATGTCACCCAAAGTCCCCATCTYGGGGAACCTTGCAAGGTCCAAGCCCTGTGGAGTTTAGAGGGGATCAACGGAGTCGCTGAGCCCCAGAGCTTTGGTGACAGATACCCCGTGCCCTCCCACACCTGAGGAGCCTTCTCCAAGGACGGGGCACTGTCTCCCTCCAGCCCAGGCATGAGGCCAGGCATCCTCGGATGACGAGGGCTGCGATCCAGCAGGGAGTGTCTCCCAAGCTCCGRGATGGGGCACAGAGGAGCAGGGGGCAAGCCCAGAAGTGAAAAGGACAGGAAAGCTTCAAGGAGCCCCCCACCCAAACAGCAGCCCCCGTYAGGTTGAGCCAGCCCAGCAGCTGCGACTTGTGTGGGTCGCTCTGGTGCTGCTCCTCTTGCTGCGTCCTGGTGGGCCCTGCCATGGGACACCGCTGCTCTGCCACCCAGCACCCGAGRCGCTCCTCGTCCTGGTGGCAGCAGCTTCCTTGGCACTTTGTGTGTGCCCTCCTGCGCGGGACCCCAGCCCTGCCACCCCTTCCATGCTCAGCTCCCTCGYGTTGCCCAGAGGGGCCTCTGCTTCTCTGCAGCCTCTGCTGACTGATCTAAGCTTCTCTCTTGACTCTTTTCTCTCCTGTGTCCCACGCTCTCATGCAGGAGAAAAGTGGATGTCAGGTGTGTATTGCCAATTACTGTTATTATTGTGATACAAGCTCATCTGCTGCCTGGGTCGGGACAGGGCTGGGTGGCGYGGGGCTGGGAGCAGGGGTCTCATCGTGGTCCTAGATGTGCCCCGTGGCAAAGCCACATGTGCTCCGTAGGGGATGTGCCCAGAAACAGCATTGCAAAGTCAAGGAGTGGGATCATCAGGGAGTGTCCCGGGGGTAACAGCCCTGCTGCGGAGATGGAGCGGTGCTTGTCCTGTTAGGTCCTTCTTGTTCCAGCGCTGGATTTTACCAGCGATGCATTTAATCCCTGAAGCCTGGGCTRTGCAGAGCAAAGGGCTGCAGTGGTGCCAGGAAAACCCACGTGTGGGGTGTTTGGTGACTTGTGGTTTCACACCCTCATTGATGCTCTAACCCCAAGCCTCTTTTCCTGGTTTGTGCTCCCACAAAGTGAGCTCTGCCTGCCAGGGATTCTGTGCTGTGCCACGGATCAGGGGGATTTATTCAGCCATTAAGGCACCCGTGGGGTTTCWGTTCTTTCTTTTTCACTCTCCTGCYGGGGTTTTTCAAAGGCCTGGTCAGAGAGGAGGGTCTGAGCAACAGACACTCTGCAGCACCCTGGCAAACAAACGGGCTGGGCTGCAGCTGCAGGGCATAAGAAATGAAGGAAGGTGCCATGTGAGACTTCCAGAGGGAGACGGACTTTGGAAAAATGTCTCCCTGTGTTGAATGCTGTCAGCATCCTGCTCTGGTGCTGGGTGCTCCAGGCAGTCTGGGAAGAGCTGCCGAGTGACCTTGCAGCTTGTGCTTGAGCCCCGAGCACAGCGGGCTCGGGCGCACTGGGATCCTGCCTTCCCTCCGATAAAGCTCGATAGAAAAATGTGGCAGCCAGAGGGGTTGCTTGATGGTATCTGGTAGGCTGGGAGTCCTGTAATTCTCTTGTGAAACTTGTCAGGCTGAGGGTGTTACATGCTCTGCTCCGTGCCTAGCTCTGAGGGAGGCCAGGCTGATGTCTGGAATTGCAGAGATCAGACCTTCTAGCGCCGTTCTTGAAGTGCTGGACGTGCTCCAGCGCAAACGAAATTGGAGGGGAAGGAGCCAGATGGACTGAAATGAGACAACTGCAGCCCCTCGGGCAAGTCAAACACGCGGCCCTCCGCCCCCCAGCCTGTGGAGGAGGCACTGGTGACGTTTTGGAGGTGGCCAAGGCAGCCCTGCAGTGTCCTCCTCCCTGGCCTTTGAGAGAAGAGTCRCAGCTGGCGCCCAGGAGCTCAACAAGCTCATTTGGCCAACGCAGCCTTTAGCCTGGAAAGGGCTCCCAGGTCCCTCGCAGAGTGGGAACCCAAGAGCAGAAGCTGTTTGGGTCCCACTTTTTGATGGGGCTGACGTGCAGGAATGGGTCCTACAAGACCAAAGCCGTGACGTGATGTCGTTGGCTAGCTCAACTGCAGGCCAGCGGTGCCTGGTGGCTTTGTCTGCTGCAAGGGCTGGTTCTGGGGCTGGTTTTGAAGGGCGAGAGGAGACGGGGCCTGGGAAATCTGCTCAGGCCAGTTTGGCTGCAGCAGACCCAGGGCTTTGTTTGGGACAAGCGGAAGAAGAGACGGCCCCAAGCGCGAGTTGTCCCAGAGCGTGGTCACCACGTCACGCAGCCCTGCACCGATGTCCTGTGGTGTCTTTGGAGACGCTCTGCTTCCCTAAGGGTCGGATCCATCCGTGGCCGTGAGGGAAAGGCTCTCATGCCGCTGTTTCCAGCGGGAGAGGGTTTCCTCCCAGCCCGCTGGCAGCAAGCACAGATGTAACAGGGTGTTTTGGTAAGATCGTGCGGGGAATTGTTGAAATATTTTGTTTTGATTTCTTTTTTTCCCTTTTCCTGCCCCACTGGGACATTTTTGGAATAGTTCGTTTCTGCAGAATTCCCAGATCGCAGCCRTTGAGCCCAGGCTGGAGTGAAGCCACAAAATGAAACACGGGCATTTCTCAGGCTGATGTTTCTCCCTCTTCCTATGGGGAAGGAGGCTGCGTCCATCTCCTGCCCCTCTCACCGTTGTCCCCAAAAGGTCACAAGGAGAGCGGCTCCATCCAGCAGCCGTGGAAGCCCCTCGGGCCGCCACCACGACAGGGGCTGAGAAAAGGACCGACCCCGCGCCGCTCTTGACACCAGCGCATCCCCCTGCTCCGTAGGGATTCAGGGCACGGGAAGGGTCGAGCCCGTGCCTGCAGGAGCCAGGGCCACGTGGGGCTCTGCCGGGGCGCCCGTGGCCCCGTGTGGATGGAGCTGCCGATGCTCTGACCGCCGGAGTCCCCGGGGCGGTGGCAGCGCGCGGACCCCGCGGCTGCGTCTGGCTGCCCGCGGCACCTTCGAGCCCCGCTGGTTTGTAGCTGGGTCAAGTGAATGTCACAAGCTGGTGTCGAAGCAGATCATTACTCTGTTTTTATTTATTTATTTATTTATTTATTATTTTATTCTTTTAAGGAGTTTGGAAAGGTCGCCCTGAGGCGTTTAACCACCTGGCAAATCCTTGCAGTGCTCGCCTCGGGTATCCAAAGTTTTCCCGGAGCCTGGTCTCCCTGGTGGTCAGAATAAATTAGACGCGTGCTTAAAAAAAAAGGAGAAAAAAAAAAGCTTTTTTTTTTTTAAATTGATTCTGTCTTTATGGACAAGAACATCCATGTTGTGTGAGGAACCTCCTGCTGTGCACTGGGAAGGGGAAACTGCCTTCCAGGCTCCCTTGGGTTTTGTTCCTTGGCCTTCCTGGCTCCCAAGCCTSTCTGGAGCATGCCTAGGGCTGCCGTGGGGAGGATGTTAGAGCCCAGGGCAGGCAGGTCTAGGGACCGAGGGTCCCACTCCTGCCACCAGCCCCTGGACAGCGGTGGCCAAAGGGCCTGGTGCTGCTCTGCAGCCACCCCGCGGTTTTCCTGGCGGCTTCTGGCCAGGATGGGGAGCTCTGGAGAAGCCTCTKGGAGCTGTGTGGGTGCAAGGGGTGTTGTGGGCATGGAGCTGATCCTGGCAATGGCCCCCAAGACCCCYCTGCGAATCCCGAGCCCATCGGACACATCCCTAGGGTCCCACTGCAGGGTGAGCATCACTTAAGCACTTCCCTCCTCTCTCCTTGGCTTATCTGTTTTCCCCCTTTTTGTTGCTTTCCCACWGCCTCTGTTTAACAAATTTTGCAATTTTGTTTCTCCTGATGCTGTTTGAAATCACTTCCATCGTTCCATCCCTTTCTTATTTACTTATATAATTAATTTTCCCATTTCCCTGCCACCCCACTTGGCTTTCCAGCCCCTGCCCAGCACGGCTCCCTCCCCAGCCAGACCCGCTTCCCATCCCATCCCCATCCCGGCSCCAGCGCGGAGCTCCCAGGGCAGCTCCAGGTCCATGGGCTCATCCCATCCCGCCTCTTTGCCTCTCTTCCAGGGAAGGCGACTGGTGGCTGGCGCACTCCCTCACCACGGGACAGACAGGATACATCCCCAGCAACTACGTYGCGCCCTCCGACTCCATCCAGGCTGAAGAGTAAGTGCCGTTTTCGGACAGTTTACAAAAGCGTTTTAAAAAAACCTCACTGACCCCTTGTCCCTCCCTCGCATCCCTCTCCCCCCGCAGTGCCCGGCATCTTTTCCCTCTTCTTTCCCATTGAATTTGCTGCCCGTTTCCCGCCTTGCGTGAGCRGGAGGCCGCGGTGCCGCTCGCTGGGCGGCGGGACGAGGCTCAACTGCACGGCGTGGGTTTTACCCCGGCCAAGGGTCCCCGGGAGCCGCCAGGGCCCCGTTCCAGCCCCGCTCTGCCCAYGCAGGTGGTACTTCGGCAAGATCACGCGGCGCGAGTCCGAGCGGCTGCTGCTCAACCCCGAGAACCCGCGCGGCACCTTCCTGGTGCGCGAGAGCGAGACCACGAAAGGTGAGCACCCCGAGCGCCCTGAGCGCCCCGAGCACCCCGAGCACCCCGAGCGCCCCGAGCACCCCGAGCAGCCCGAGCGCCCCGAGCACCCCGAGCGCCCTGAGCGCCCTGAGCACCCCGAGCGCCCCGAGCACCCTGAGCACCCCGAGCACCCCGAGCGCCCTGAGCGCCCCGAGCACCCCAAGCACCATGAGCGCCCCGAGCACCATGAGCGCCCTGAGCACCATGAGAACCTTTAGTGCCATAAGCGTCCTGAGTGCCGCCGGCGCATTCCCGGGAAAGTGGGTCACGGCACTGGGAAGAGCTGTGTAACCCCTAGCAACGGGACCYGCGGGAGAGCGGCCCGTCCCTCTGGCCCGCGCGGGCGCCGCATCCTTGTCCCTCCTGCTCCGCTGGCCTCCGGAGCGGTTTCATCCCGGCGCCTTCCCCGCTCTGCTSGCCCTGACCCTGCTGTTTCTTGTGCATTTTGGCCCATTTTCTTTTTCAAAACTATCATTTCTCCCCTTTCTTCTCTCGTGTCCCCAGAGAAAACCCTGTCCCCCACACATTTTGGCCCCAGCCCTAGTTCACCAAAACACCCGAGCACCTCGGAAGCCCTTGGGAATGGGAATAGCCAGGGCCCATCTCCCAGCCACAGAGCAGGAGAAGAGAGGAGCCAAGAGCGCCCCGTCCCCGCAGCTGCCATCTCCTTGTGTGGGGCTTTTTGCTTCAGTTACGGAGCTCCGAGGATGGAGGCTGCTCTTCCTTCCCCTCCCCTTCCCCAAGCACAGGGATTTTGCTCTTTTTAGGTTTTTTTTTGTTTGTTTGTTTTTCTCCTGGTTTCTTTATAAGAGCAAGATCTTCAGACCGTGTTTCCTGGGCTCACGGGGGCAAATGATGATTTCTTAGGCCCCATGTCATATCTCATGATCCTTGGCATGAATCTGGGGTCCCTTGAAAGCACCAGCCGTGATGTTTTGAAAGTCATCTGCCCAGAGATGCTGTTTCTTACCTGCAAACACGGTTTCGCTCTGGCTCCACGGGCACCTTTGGGAAAAGCTCCCTGCCTCGCTTTTCTGTGCTGGTGCTTGGAGTCTGGCAGCATTCACCTCATTCCAGCAGCAACGGCTCGCTCAGGCACAAAGAGGCATTTTTGCCCTTTGTGAACCTGATTGTGGCAAGGAGAGGGACAGAGACCCACGGTGATGCCTGTAGTGGCACTGGCGGCCGCTGGTGGCTTTACCCATGCGGAGTGACGGCTCACTGGCTCCCAAGGGATGAGGTGCAGGACGGGCCGGGTGCTGTGGGGATGGGGCGCAGGACGGTTCGGGTGCCTCGGAGCGGCGGTGGGGACGGAGCGGGGCCCCGGTGGCAGCCGCATCCCCCGCGGGCCGCCCTGAGCCCCTCGTGCCTCYCCGCAGGCGCCTACTGCCTCTCCGTGTCCGACTTCGACAACGCCAAGGGGCTCAACGTGAAGCACTACAAGATCCGCAAGCTGGACAGCGGCGGCTTCTACATCACCTCGCGCACCCAGTTCAACAGCCTGCAGCAGCTCGTCGCCTATTACTCCAGTGGGTAGCACGGGGCGCTGGGCAGAGGGGAGGCCCATCCAGGGATGGATGGAACCGGGATGAGATGCTGGCCCCGGGATGAGGTGCTGGGGCTGGTGCAGGGCGAGAGGTGGCGGTGGCCTCGGCTGGGCTGAGGGGTGTCCTTAGGTGGACAAGTATCTGCCCCATCCCTTCGTCCTCGTCCTCCTCCCACAAGGAGAACAAGACCTCCCACAGGAGGATCATAGAATCACAGAATGCTTAAGGTTGGAAGGGACCTCCAGAGATCAYCTAGTCCAACCCCCTGCACATGCACGTGGCTCTAGGTAGGATGGGTGCTGGGGGCTGGGGGAAGCAGAGGAGCAGACAAGGAGACCCTGATGGATTTCAGGGAAGAGGGGAAAGGGTCTGGATGCAAGTCTCCCAATGCTCGGCGGGAAGGACGCGGGGTAAAGTCGCCGCGTGTCGAAGTGCCCGAGCGTCACTGCGGCTTCCTCCCGGTGTCCCAGAGCACGCCGACGGGCTGTGCCACCGCCTCACCACCGTCTGCCCCACCTCCAAGCCCCAGACGCAGGGCCTGGCCAAGGACGCCTGGGAGATCCCCCGGGAGTCGCTGCGGCTCGAGGTGAAGCTGGGGCAAGGCTGCTTCGGAGAGGTGTGGATGGGTAAGGAGCACCCGGGCACGTGGCCATGGGCCCTGGCACCTCGGGGAGCCGTGCGGGGCTGGCCRAGGAGGAGAGCGGCTGCTTTGGGTCCTTTGCGCAATGGGCTGCAATGTCCCCAGCCCAAACGGGGGCTTTTCAGTGACATCTGATGACGCTGGGGCAGCAGCAAGTCTGGGTGGTGTCTTTGCCCTCTGGCTCAGGGATTTGGGGTGGGGGAAGGGGGTGGTTGCAAGGGGTGTTTCTTCTTCTTGGGAGCTTCCTCGGTCAGGGTGGGTTGCATGGATGCAGAGTGGGATGAGTGCAGCTCTCCATGGTCATCCCCGTATGGCCTAAACCTGCKGTGCTGGAGGGAGCCGGGACACAGCCCTGGAGCTGCAGACACAGGCATTACCTGAGTGGCCTTGRCCTTGTGCTTCAGGGACCTGGAACGGCACCACCAGAGTGGCCATCAAGACCCTGAAACCCGGCACCATGTCTCCGGAGGCGTTCCTGCAGGAGGCCCAGGTCATGAAGAAGCTCCGCCATGAGAAGCTGGTTCAGCTCTATGCCGTGGTTTCGGAGGAGCCTATCTACATCGTCACCGAGTACATGAGCAAAGGTGAGTGCCTCCGACAGCCAGAGCTGTCCGGGCAGAGCTGGTCTGCCTGGCTGTCCAGCCGGGAGCATCCAGGAGCCTGCTCTGCTCCTCCACGGGTCACTCGCTGTTGTCTTCCTCACAGGGAGCCTCCTAGACTTCCTGAAGGGAGAGATGGGCAAGTACCTGCGGCTGCCCCAGCTCGTGGACATGGCGGCTCAGGTGGGTCTGGGCTTCCCTGGATCTCCTGCTCCTTGGGCATCCTGCCTGGCAGCGTTCGCCAGGCTGTTGTGCCCATCATGAGGGTCCAGCCATGGTTGAGTCGTAGGTTGATGGGGAGCCTGGTGCAGCTTGGCGTGAGGGAAGCAAAATCCCCTGGAAAAGGCTGTGCARGGCCTTTCCCTGGGGTGCTGGCAGCTCTCTGGGGCCGTGGCATCACCCGGGAGGCCTCAGGGTGCTCGGGTGTGCTGGGTCCCATGGTGACTTGTCGTGCTCTGCTCCGCGCGGCCACAGATCGCGTCTGGCATGGCCTACGTGGAGAGGATGAACTACGTGCACCGCGACCTCCGCGCRGCCAACATCCTGGTGGGCGAGAACCTGGTGTGCAAAGTGGCCGACTTCGGCTTGGCGCGGCTCATCGAGGACAACGAGTACACGGCGCGGCAAGGTGCGCGCGAGCTCGYGGAGCGGCGGCCCCGCCGCGCGCCGGCGCCTCCTCCTCACCGCCCCTCTCCACCCAGGTGCCAAGTTCCCCATCAAGTGGACGGCCCCCGAGGCGGCTCTCTATGGCAGGTTCACCATCAAGTCGGATGTTTGGTCCTTTGGCATCCTCCTGACCGAGCTGACCACCAAGGGCCGAGTGCCGTACCCAGGTGAGAGTTGCCAGCAGAGATGGTGTCACCTTCTCAGAGTCCTCGCCCCAGGTGCCCTCGGAGCAGCGCTCCTCCACGGGGCTGCGTCGTTTCCCATAACTATCTAGCCCAAAAACAAATTGATGGGATGTGTGTCCTGCTGTTTTGGCAGGCAGGGTGGGCTTGGAGGGTGAGCTGCCCCATGCCCAGGTCAGACCACAGTGTGGGAAGGATGAGCCTCGGGATGGCGGGTGGCAAGTGGCACAAGGTGCAGGAAAGCCGGCTCTGTGACAGTCACGGAACGCCTGAGGTTGGAAGGGATCTCCTCTAATCCAAACCCCCACATTGAAGCAGTGTCATCTAGAGCACTTGGTTCAGGACCCTGTCCAGATAGCTGTCTCCAAGGATGGAAACTTTGCAGCATCTGTGGGCTACCAGTGCTCCRTCACCTTTCCAGTGGTGAACCAAGAAAAAGCAAAGCAAATCATCCAAGTGGTAAGGTGACCGTGGGCCAGGAGCAGCTGACTGTATCCCAGCCGCCCTCCCTGTCCTGTTCTGGGCACCTAGAGAGGTGACAGGGGCCTGCGAGCAAGGATAAACGGTGTTGATGTGGTGGGTTCTGTCCTCCCCTTGCAAAGTGAGCCATGGGGCTGGCCCTACGGCTGGCAGCTCGCTGCGCCAGCGACGTGTCCTCCTTCATCCCCTTTGGTAGAGGTTTGGCAGAGGCCGTCACCCACCCTGCCCTGATGCTCTCTCCCTTCTGGGCTGGCAGGGATGGTCAACCGGGAAGTGCTGGACCAGGTGGAGCGGGGCTACCGGATGCCGTGCCCGCCCGAGTGCCCCGAGTCACTGCACGACCTCATGTGCCAGTGCTGGAGGAAGGACCCAGAGGAGCGGCCCACTTTCGAGTACCTGCAGGCCTTCCTGGAGGACTACTTCACTTCCACAGAGCCCCAGTACCAGCCGGGTGAAAACCTATAGGCCTGGAGCTGCTCGCGGCCCTGGAGAGGCGCGGGCGCAGTGGCGCGTGCGCGGGGCTCCTGGAGCCCTTCCCTCCTCGCGCGCCCGGCGGGTTTTGAGGAGCAGCCCCCGGGATGCAGGACAGGGCGATGTCTCCRGGCGCGGACAGTGGCGGTGCTGGATTCTCCTGCGGCTGATTGAGGCTCCTGGGGCCTGTTGAACAAAGCTCTGCTGGCGAGAGGAGCGGGAAGGTGCCGGGCGGGCTGGAGCCGGACGGCGAGCGGAGAAGCGGAGGCTTTGGAGACGTTTGCGAGCGTTTCCCCTCYGGTGGCTCCACAGGTGGGACTTGGGTGCTGCAGGACACCAGCTCCCATCCCGGACACGCGCTCCTTGCGTCCTGCACCCCTCTGTGCAGCAGCACAAACCTCCCTGTCCCCTCACATGCCCCTCTCCGTGCCAGCCCTCCCCGAGGACCCATGGAGACGTTTGGCGTTGTGGAAGGTGCYGTCGTTGCCACCTCATGGTCATGGCTCCATGACTGAGTGCCATCATGACTGGGATACCCTTCCAGAGGGTGGACGTTACATCTGGGTGCCTCCAGGCCTGGTGATGGCAGCTTTTCCACACTTGCCGCAGACGTGGGGCGCCAGCCGGGACGCCGGCATCCTGCGGCGCTCTGGGCTCTCTGGCCACCCCCGGGCAGGACGTGGCGGCCGAGCTGCGTTAACGCCYGTGCTGGGAGGTTCCTATCACTGTGTCACTGCTTAAAGGTCACTGCTTGCAGCTGTGGGGACTCCAGCTGTGTCTTGGGGCTGCTGGCAGGCAGGGTCGAGTCTTCCAGCTGTGTCTGTCCCCAGCTACGGGGACCTGTGTCACCAAGGCTGCTCCTTGTGGGACCAGCACCTTGGGAGTTGCTACCAGAGCCCCTTGCCTTGCCCTGCTGCCCGAGCCCACTGCTTTGGGTGGGTTTTTCTTCCACAAAACGCTCCTGGTCTTCCAGCTGCTGCCCCGCGAGCCACGAGGGCGCCAGGCCGAGCTGCTCCCCATCCTGCTCTTTGCTGCGAGGCTGTTCCCTGCTGGCGACGCGGGGCTGCGGAGCCGCTCCGGCCTGTCCCAGCGGCTGCAGCCGCGAGGTGGTACCGGCCCGTGTGGTGGAGAGCCCTGTCCCGCGTGCAGGAGCGCTCCCGAGCCRCGCTGGGCGGTTGGACGTAGCCCTCGCAGGCCCGAGCGCGCTCCAGAAGCTGATCCAGTTGCATGTGTCCCCGTCCCCCCCTCACGGCACCGCTGACGTGTCCGCACCTGAGCCGAGCCCTTCGGCCCCGGCTGCGCTTTGGTTCCAGTCACTGCTCCTGCCTCCCTGCCCACATTCCCTGTCTCCGCTGTGCCAGAAACGCTCCTTGGACGTGCAGCCTTGGGAGCGCCCGTCAGGACCAGACATGTCCCGCTATCGCCGCAGGGCCCAAAGGCGCTCCTGGACACCGCAGCTTCCTGCAGCTCTCCTTGCTCCATCGTTTTTCCCTYGTCCTCATGGTTTGGGCCAAGCGCCCTCCTGTCATGTCCCTCCTGCCCACAGGAGCAGCTGCGGCCACCGCTGCCACCCCGGCTCTTATTTATTAAATGGATCCTCAGTCCGTGGGATCCTTTTTAGTTAGCAGCACCTTCACAATCAGCCCAAGGGGCTCTTCGTGGCGCGATCCTGCCCTTGCCTGCGACTGCTGCAAGGAATTTCTGAAGGATTTGGGGACTCGAAGCCAGTTCCTTCCTCCCCAGCGCATTGGCTGCGCCTGGATTTCTGCAGCCTCAGACCTTGCGGTGTTCGGGGTCTTCGTTTTGGCACCTCTTGGACATTTGGCTGAGGCCCTGTGCAGAGAAATCCCGTCCTCCAAAAAGGAGGAAGCTGCGAGGGGCGTCTGTAGAACTACACACTATCCCTGTCCAGGAGAAATCCCTTAAAACTGTAAGTGGGAGCTCGTGGAAGCCAGATCTGCTCCAAAAGCTGGGAGAYGGCGAGGCCAAATGCACATAGTAATAGAAAACCTTTCACTTCCCTTAGCATGAGCAGACTTTTAAGAGCAAAGKGGGCTGGAACGATGTGAAAACGCTTCAGTTTGCGGCTCCATCGGGCCTTTTAGGGCGAGCGGCAGAGCAGTAGCTCCCCAGGAACRTGAGGAACTGCCGGGGGGTTCAGTTTTCTCCTGGTTTTCAGCAAGCTGCGACAGAGGGAAGTTGGGACGGCCGCTCAGAGCGGCAGCCAGCGACAGCAGGAGCCGCAGGAGCAGCGCTGGGTGCGCCCGTGTCCCCATCACGGGTCTGGGGACACCTCCRAGCCACCCCCTACAGCTGCCCTCACCCGCAGGGATTAAGGGACTCTCCTCCGCCACCCTTGTTGTTTGCCAATTTGGGGKTTTTTAAGCCTCGAAAGCCAAGGGGGAACCTCTGCTACCTACCGCTGCTCCCCGGCACTGATGCAGGGGCGAAGCAGTCGCTTCTGCTGGCGGCAGTTTTTTAAACAGTGTTTTGTAAAAAGAAATCTCCAAACGACTATGCAGAGAACACGTGGATCTGTTTCTCTCTCCCCAGCTCCCCTCAGCTGCCTTTCCGAGAGTGTCCAAGTAAAACACTTAGTTTTTTTTTTTTCCTTTTTTTTTTTTTTTTTTTTGATAATAAAAAGACTTGGGGAAAATCCTGCAAACGTCCAGCGTCATGGGTGGTGGGGGCGGAGATGCTTTGAACCTCTTACTGTTGGTGTAAATACTTTGCAATTTGATAATTAAATACAAACAGACCTCACAAAAAAAGCAAGTGTGTGACAGGAGCGTTTGTGCCCACGCTGGATCCGGGGCCGGGAGCTGCTCTCGCCTCGGAGGAGGCGCTTGGGATCATGTCTGTTGAGTCCCATCCTGGTTGCAGCTTCTCCAAGGGCAGCATCATCCCAGCCCCCCAGGGCACCGATATTGGGGTCCCGGCTGAGCAGCGGCTGCAGAAGCTCACGAGCCCCAGGCCTGGCTCGTTAGGCTAATTGGCAGAGAGCTGATTGGGATGGGTGACCTGCGCTTGGCTCGTGCAGTGGCTGCTCTGCCTGCTGGAGTGGGTGAGTTGGTCTCATTTTCTTAAGCGTTTCCTGGCTTATGTTTTACCTTGAAGCCATTAAGGGATAGAGGGAAGGTGTCTCAGTGGTGAGTCCCTTGGCCTGGCGCGTGGGCTGGTGCGTTGGGCAGGGTRGCTGTTCCTGCAGGGAATGAGGCACTCGGGTGCTTGGTCCTCACGGAGTGACCAGGGCCTGCAGAGCRGGTGGCCCAGGGCTGGGCTCGGCCCCAGGAGCAGCAGTGAGGGTCCCCAGGCTGGGGTCTGTGGCTGGTAGCCCCCCGGCTGCCCTTGGAGGCCACCCTGTGACCCCCAGGGGCCCCCTCTCGATCCGYGGTGCCTCCACGTGGAGGTGTGGGATGTTCCTGGCCCGGCAGGGCGGCTGCACGTGTGCCCGGGGCTCCAGGGCAGCTGCAAGGGGCCTGTTCACAGCAGGGAGGCGGCCTCGACCGTGGAGRCTGCCCTGAGCGAGCCCGGCCTTGTGCCGGGGCTCCGGGGTGTCGCTCGGGCCCCGTGTGCGGAGGAGGGTGTTGGGGGCTGCGGACGGGCTGCTCCGTGCCCTGCTCTGGGCGCTGCTTCGTGCCACAGCGCCGGGCTGCCTGTGCTGACGTGTGGGTCTGTTAAAGCAGCGAGCGAAGGGGATTCTCCTAGAGCCCTGGGCCTCAGCGGCTGCCCTTCAGAAGGYGGGGTGAAAAGCCGTGGGGACCTGAGGTCTGGCCGCGCTTGGGTGGTTTCTGCTTCCGTGACRCCCTGTTAGAGGATTTGCAAATGATTTGCATTTGCTCAGGACGTAGCAAAACCCTCCTGAGGGTCCGGCCTGGCCTCCAGGCCTTGCCTGCTGTGCTCCCTAGCTCCTATCATCACTAAAAGCAAGGAAAGCCCTTTCTTTTGTTGGTGCAAGAGGCAGGAGACCATGAGATCAAGGGCAGGACTATCCGTGGCCCGAAACACTGCTCGCTGTCTCCCTGTTCCAGCTGCTTCCAGCTCAGGTTCCTCYTGGCAGGGACCAGTTTCTGTCCTTAGGCTGCTCCTGTGTTGCGAGGTCCCCAGGGATGCTGCAGGTTTGTATGGGTGCGAGCAGGCAGAGCACTGGGGCAGCAGGGACTAATTGGAGCAGGGACTAATTGCCCAGCAATAATTCACCGGGGAGAGCAGCACCCGGCAGGGAGAGGCAAGGCCAAGCTCTTCTGAGGGGAGGCAGCACCACCTTCCTGCACGTGGGAGAAGGTCAAGAGGGAGGAGGTCAGAGCTCCTGAGCTKCCTCTGCCCCAGCCGCCTCCAGGACAGCTCTGTTCTCTCTGTTCTCCCTAGTTTTCAAGGAGTAAATCGCTGGGATTTTTCAGGAAGCATCGGCTGGGAGAGAGAAGCAGGAGGTGGGAGATGGGACCGGCTCACCCGGAGCTGGGCACGGRCTGAGCTGGGACTGCTGCCCAAGCAAGAGCAAGTCAGAGCCGAGGGCTTGGCTGAGCCCTGTGTCAGGGGGTGTCCTGTGACGAGGGGGTGTGAGACCGAATCCCTGGTAGATGGAGGGCTCGGAAAGCCCCAGTAAGGGCCAACCCTTCCATGCTGGAAGCCTCATGGCACCCAGGTCACCTTGGGTGCGGGTGGTGCAAAATTAGGGTCCCTCCTGGAGCAGAGGTGGGAGTGAGGGAAGCCCTAGAGCTGCTCGAGCTTAAGTTGCATCTCTGTTCCTAGGGATCTGAGCCTGGCTTTTCTCCTTTCCTGTCCCCGGTCTGTGAGGTGACCCACAAAATGATCTCCCCTTCAAACGGGAAGGCAAAGAACCAGCTCAGAGCTCCTGCTCCCTGCACGTAGGGAACAAGGAGGCAGATGGACAAGCCGTAATACCACAAGGTTGCGAGACCTGGTCTGTGCCGGATCCCCTCTGGGCCAGGCACGCGGGGCCTGGCAGGATAGGAGCAGCTGTGTTTGAAACCCCAGTGCTTTAATAGTCACTATCGTAACTCACCATTCAGAGCAACTGCAAAGCTCCCTAATCCCTGCAGTACCAGACCGGGTTTTCCCAGAAAAGYGAGCAATTCCCGGAGCCCAGGGATGAGGTTTGTGGGGGCTCCGATGCTCTTAGAGCTTTGACCTGCTTGGCGGCTGCGGGCCGGTTCTTCACAGTCCCTTAGGGAAGGACATTCCAGTGAGGAAGTGTTAGCATGGGATGCCAGACCTGCCTGGATTCCCCCTTGTTCCTGAGGCTTTCTGACCATCAAGTGGTTTTCATTTTCTTCTTGAAGCTGAGACAGTGTCTCGGGTGCTGAAGACCTAAAGCAAGTATCCTGGGAAAGCCGTGTGCGTATTAAAGAGGGATATGAGGCATATTCCCATTTGAGACAGGAATGCTCTAAAAGCTTCTTCAGCCTCAGCTTGCCAAGATCTGCTCTGTGACAGCGCTGGCAGCTCCCGCTTTGGGGTGTTTTCCTCCAGGTCTCCTGGAAGGGAGAGTCTACAGTTGTGTCCAGCAGAATGGATGTGTTGAGATGGTTGTACAAACCAGGCCCTGCTCTCATCCGAAAGGAGCGTCTGGGCCRTGTGACTAAGTGTTATTTAAGTAGTGCTACAGTGGGACAGGGCTAGTGAGCAATAGAAACGTCCTCTTAAAAGAACTGACTGCATTAGCTTAAGTCACTTAAGTTGCTCACAGGGCAGCAACAACCTTGTCCTAACTTGCAAATGAAAGGCTTTTYCCTAGTTGCAGTAAACCTGTTTCCTTTTTCTTTGATTTAGCTAATATAATATCATGACAACCCTTAGGATTTGCTTCAGCTTGGCAGCTCATAGGGCTGCCCATCCGCTAGAGATGATTTTTTTTTTTTTTTAAACTTGCCAACATCAAGGTGTGAGGAGATTGTGGAACAATATTCAGTTCTCCTGGATTTGCTTCAGATTAGCAAAAGTGCTACGGAAAAGATGCATGTCCGTAAGGATTAATGAGTTACCTGATCTGGCCTTGGAGAGCTCCCTGTGGTTGAGACTCCTTGGGAACARCTCCTGCCTCAGGAGCCCCCTGCTCTCCCATATGTTTAATCCTGCGAATTGCCCCTGCAGACACAACAGCCCAYGGGGCTGTGTCCCCTCTGCCTCCACCCCAAATGGCCGTGTCCTGTAGCAGGGTGAGGGCTGCACAGCTGAGAGGCCCAGTAGCCAAACTGCAGCCCGGTTGCCACCTGCAGCAGGTCTGGAAGGCAGCGGGACCAGATCCAGGCCCCGTGGGCTCAAGGAAAAGGGGAATGTGTCAGACAAAGAGTACAACTGGGAGCCACCTCCTGTTAGCCTGAGGAGTTGTTGCTGCCCTTCAGAGCCTGCCCAGGCAGACGATGAGACGTCAGCTCAGCAGCTGCAAAGAGGCCCTGCTGGGAAGGGAACAATACGGGGAACGCGCGACCGCCGCGCTGAGGCATCCGGGACAGGCAGCGAATGTGTCACACTGGGCAGGAGGCCACGGGGCAAAGTTTATAAAGCTTTATTAAACATCTCCAACAGCTGTGCAATGAACAAACAATACTCTGGGAGTTTCACAAGCTCCTAGCTTGAACCTGCTCGGGACAAGAGCCGTTCCTGCTGCTCCCTGCTACGAAGCCGAGCTCTGCGCAGCGCCTCGGAGCTGCTGCCCAGCACCAGGTGTCCTGAGGGCCTCCTGCCAGGGCAAGCAGGAGACCCTGAGCACCTCCCACCTCTGCCCTCCTCCATTCTGTAGCACCAGCAACTTCTGCTGCCCTTTTCGTCACTGAAAATGGCCCAAGTCATTTCTCGCCTCAAGGCCTGCTCCATCTTGGGATCCTCTCTACTCAMACCTGGCCTTTGGAGCTAGTATGAACTTTTCAGGGTGAGGTTTATAGAGCGGCTTTGGAAACCCCACATCTTGCACCGTAACTGTTCTTCGTCCCAACAGTCAGTGAAGCCTAGAAATCTAGAAGGGGAAGAGGACATCTCCACTGCGTGAGTCTCTGTAAAAGCAGCAACATAACTGAGGTTTTCAGGCTGTGACCTGGCAGCAGGAGGAGTTCAGAAAGCACTTGTGCAGCACACACCTCTTTGGCAGGAAGAGCAGGAGATGACGACTCAACCGCCTCTGGCTCCAGCAGCTTTTGGCCAAGTGCATCTGTCAGCTGTTGAACCTTCCCTTGATCTTGGGGCTGGCTCCCCACGCGCAGAAAGATGGTGAGAATCTTGTTTACTTGAGCAGAATCAGCAGGCTGAGAGCCCTAAGTTAGGCCTAAGTTAGGCCACCGTGGCCTGATGCAGACAGGTGAGTGACACACAACTCCACCATGCAACAGTCGGGCAGAGGCAACAGCTCCTTCCTCCACTGGTGCTCAGCTGGGAGGGCTGGTGTCYGTTCCCAGTGATATGGGAAGGAAAAAAAAGATGTGTTTCCTTTCGGTGGCACTGCCAGAGTTCACACAGTAAACGAGTCGGAATTCACAGGCAGAGTGGGAGGGCTGGTGAGGAATTTACCCTTCTAGTCCACACACACCTTAGAGGGAACAGGCTGAACACCCCTCCCTCCTCCCTAGCCCCCCTTTTTWAAAAGCCAAACCAGAGCTGTCAGCAGACTGGGGGATTGTTGGGTTCTAGGTGCCTACTATGCTGGGATCGTGAGCTGATTCCGGCAGCTGGGACCCTGTGCAGTGGTACAAGAAGCAGTTCCCCCAGCAGCTGTAGCAGATGAGGAATAAGGCTGCCAGGAAGACCAAGGCACAGATYGTGCAAGGCTTCCGCTCCAGGAGGAAACTGAGCAGGTAGAAGCCCATGAACATCGAGTGACTGAACCACAAGGCCGGGTTGAGGGGCTTGGGGATGAGCAGGACGGGCAGCAGCCACTGCAGGCAGTACATGGTGGCCGGCTCCGGGGGCCCGCGGCGGCTCCCAAACAGGCTCCAGCCGTTGCCCTTCAGGCTGCCCTGTGGAGAGGGGAACAAGGTCAGACTGTTGGAGGAACAGCGAGAAGATTCACAGCGGCTTCGYCCACCCCACGCTTGGTGAGTTGATGCTTTAACCCCCACCCCGTGCTGAAGTTTCTGGCTCAGCTGGTGGAAGYTGCTTTTGAACCACTTCAGCTACAGCCCTGGCCATTGCTCACACACAGGAGCATCCTCAGGAGCTCTTTCTACTCGGGCTCAAAGTTGTCAGACTCTTTCTGTTGTTTCCCCTTTTTCTGGTATGCACTATGTTAAAGGAAAGCAAGTTGCAGCAGCAATGATATAATTAGAACTGACAGGGATGAACCTGGCAGTGCTGGAAGGAAGAAATGGAAGGCAAGAAAGGTTGGAAGAATTTAGGTTTGATACTTGGTCACACTAGCCACAGTCTTAGTTAAGCCTAGGGACTGTTTCCACCCCACAGTCTGCCTGTTATAAGGTTTTCCAGCTTGCCCTGTGGAAAAATCCCTCTGGGATCACAGTTGGAGCTACATATAACCAAGTAGGAAAGCCCTGATGGGGCCTGGCTGCAAAACAAAGGGAAGGACAGGCCCTGCTTAAGGGATCTCTAATCCCTGCCAATCGGCTAAAGTCAGATAAGACAAAGTATGTGAATGGAGCAAAGGGGGGGGGCTGTCTGAAAACGGCAATTTTTTTAAGTACTGTAAACACAGGATTTCCTCACATGGATTATTAGAATACTCTAGAAATGGTGCCCTTTAGGAGCTTCTCTTATCAGGCAAAGCAGCTGATGGCAGGTCCAGAAAATGTGACCTAGGTGTCTGTGGGGCTCAAAGCAGCTGAAATGCTTGAAGAATTTCTGAAGGATTAAAAGCAGTAACATCACAAACCTTGCTTTTATAGAGCCAGAACTGTTGAAAGGGGGCAGAAGAAAGGAGTTTAATGTCCAGGTTCCTAGCTTACTACCCCAAAAAGGCAAAAATCACCTGGGGCAATGCTTGGGAAGGGAATTCTTCCCTGGAATTCTGTAGCACTCTGTGGTGACAGGCACTGGCATTGTAGGAAGCATCAGACAGGCAAGGCATGGAAACAGGGGCATGAGGACAGATCCAAGAGCCTTGCAAAATGCCCTGGCTTCCCTTGAGCAAGCAGGTCCTGGCCAGAACTGTGTGTGTACACATATATATATATATATATATATATATTTCCCCCCTGCAATCCTATTATCAGAAAACACTTAAGTGAGTAGTCTGCTGTCAGGAGGATGAAGGGCTGAGCTGAGGCTGTCAGGATTAGGAGAGGGGGGTGGGAAGGTTAGTGGGATGAAGAAGTGAGAACATAAACAAACAAGCGCATTCCTTGGGCTCCTGCTGGCAGCAGATTTCCTGGCTGAGGGAGAGGGAAGGAGGGATCGMAGGGAGAAGCCAAGAAAAAACCACATGCAGCTCTCTTCCAAACAGCACGGAGGTCAGGCACGAGTCCTAAAGCTCGTAGGTACCAAGCGTGTCGGAAGCAGGAAGCCTGTTTCCATCCTCTGTGCTCTCAGAGGTGGGATAGATTTTATTGCTTTTGATCCCTTTTCAAAGAACGGAGGCCAAAATCTCCACCAGGGCAAACAGATTAAGGGTATTTGGGGAAAGCACACGGGCTCTCCGGCAAGAGAAGGCTCTCCAGCAGAGAGGACAGCTGGGGTTCAATTAGTAAAACTAAGCTGCAAAGAGGCAGCCAAGGGAGCAGGCAGGAAGCTGGTTTATGTGCACTATGCCTACAGGGAAGTCAAGGAATACAACTCGCAAGTTAATCCTGTTTTATGCAGGTCACTCACACCTTTAAGGTCGAGTTTTCCCATTTGTAAATGGGGAATGATGATTACTTACTTCATAGCAATGGATGTCTGCTAGCCTTTGTAAACCACCTGGAGAATTCTGGAGTAAAAGTAACTTGCAAGTATTTGGTAACTCTTTCTTTTCCCCSCAAGGGAAATATTCAGTGAGGTGAGTAAGCAACAAAGGTCTCACGAGTCAGCTAATTAAACCCTTACCTTTCAGCCCTTTACTGCATATCCTGCTTAGGCAAAGATCAGAATGTTTGAAATGCAACAAAACTATCTTGAATAAGTGTTCCGAAGTCTTTTCCTAAAGTGTTCCCTCTGAGGTTCGTATTGTCTTTCTGTCTCACCTGCCTCAAACACTATGCAGTAAAAATCATTGTATAAGTGCCAATATTTTTGCCAGAATCCTCCCGAGACCCTTTCAGCCTGACTTGCACTGCAAGATACATTGCAGTCTCTGGGTCACTCATTTTTGAAGCTGGTCTTCAGTGCCTGGAGACAACTGYAGCAGGGCTTCTGTCCCCTGGGTAAAGAAACAAGCCAGTTCTTCTCAAGCTGTTTCCAGCCTTGTGCTCCTTGCACAAATAGAGAATCCTTTAGGCTCAAGAATCCTTTAGGACCATAGCTGTAACAAGGGCACATGCAGCCTCCAAACCCCTGCAGTTTAGGTAATTATAACTCATGACATAGCTGCATTTAACAAGACAGTCCGGCTTCCTCGTCCCTGCAGAGGCTTAAGAGATAATGCCACAACACTGACCTGGTTCTAAGCGTGCCAGCATTAGCTCCACACCTCCTACAAATATCAAATTGGTCTCAGAGCAAGTTATCTGTTTGTAAATATTGACATTTCCTGGAACAGCCAGTTGCTTGTAGCGATCGATACAACCGCTCCGTAGAACAAAGAACTATTTAACACTGATCATTTTAACTAGGATATTCCTTCAATTTGTAAGTCTCTTAAACTTCTTCCAACTGGTAGACTGGTGGCCCCTTGCTGTTAACATATGCACCTTATGAACCAGCTAGAGGTTGTGAAACTCCTGCCCACTCTACCTGATAACAGATAGTAGATAACATGTCCAGTATTCAAGACTTTCGCTGCTCTATCTTCCTTGAGGGACTTTCCACTATAAAATGTGCAGTTTTCCTAGCTCTTCCCAGGCGAGTCCTCTATACAGCTGGCAACAAGACCGAGTTCTCTTTCCAAGCTGTTGATTCTAACTCTACTTAGGCCTCCTACAGTGAGATTAACGTTTCTACTATCAGTTCTTTGCTAAACAGAAAAAAATATTTGATTTCCTTAGTGTCCAGGATCAGTCGACTCTTCTTGAGGCCATAACATTCAGCCTGCCTTGATTCTAAAGCAACAGTCTGAAGGGGAAATCTGCAAGTAAGAAATTCCTTCCTTGTTTTCTCTGTTCCCTCCTCCTGATCCAAGCAAAAGATTACCCTGCCCTAGAATAATTAGCTGTCACCAACAGTCCTCCCACTGGCTTCTTGTTTCACAACTGCATCCTGCCTTCCCTCAACCTGTCGCTCTTGTTCTCCTCGAGCCTGATTCACCTCCCCAGCTAACTTGGGTGTCCTGCTTTCCTCGGAGCGCTCGAGTCCTCCTGCTCAGTCATCTGACTTGGCAGCGACTCGTGTTTACCAGACAGCTCCTGTTCATCCCACCAGCGCTGCCTCCTCACTCCTGCACAGCCAYGAGAGCCACTTGAGTTGCTTCAAACCCTGCAGCTGCAGAGCCCGTGCTGCCCCTGCTGCTCTCCCTGCTGTCAGTCAGCTCAGATTCCCTCTCATCTCCCAAGGTTCTGCTGGAATCTCTTCCCTGCTGCTTCCCGCAGACCAAGGGACATCTCCAGAGGTTCCCTGTGTGCCTCTTTACTAAGCAATCACCAACACTCCTCCCCATCCTTATTAATCAGCTTTCACTGTGCTCAGTCTTTCCATTTGTCATCATCCCTCCTCCCTTTCAAGAGCCTCCAAACCAGCGTGTCCTACTGGATATGGGAAGGACTTTCAAATCCCACCCTGTATCCTGGCACAGCGTTCCCACACAGGGAAGCAAAACCTTGTCATTTAGGACAGGGCAAAGCGAGCAGTGCAGCTCAGATGAGCAGGGTTTTATAACAGACTATCCAGATTTTAGAATAAATGCATGTGGGGACCTAGCAAACTATTCCTTGGCATATCACAACCCAGCTCAGCCACTAAGAGACTGGCAGATGTTCATATGCCATTCATATGTATTATATACACTAATAAGCCAACACCAACTCTATACCTTTCTCAGCTCTATAATGGGGCATTTATACCAGCAGGAGAGAATAATCAGCTGCTTTCACTAAGCAGAGCTATTTAGAGAGAAGCTTGTGTAGAGCTTACCAGAGAAGCTGTTAAAACAGGTAGCTTCCAAAAGGAAGGCAACTTTTCCAGCACATGGTACACAGACAGTGCCAGGCAGCTGCAAGGCCTGCAGCACAAAACTGAGCAACTGACAGGATTCTGGTTTGTTTTTGGGCGGGTGAGGGTCTGATGCCTATCTCCCTCTTATCCAAAAACTGAGCTTCTACTTGGGAATTAAGAGTCACAGTAGTTTTACACAGAACTCTCCCAAGTTTCACATATGTTTAGACTAAGTCTCASTCAGTAAGTCTTGCACTGGGTTTCTTTTCTATAAGCTTCACCTACAGAATAATTTGCTTAAAAACGTTAAGTCACAGCCACATAAGTATGTTGTGTGTGTGGGCAGTGCTCTCTGTCACCCTGGCTTGTCACAATGTATTTAAAACCAATTCTGAAATACCACATAGCATCTAAAACAGCCACTAAAAAAACCACAGTATTGAAAGCRTTGCCTAAAAGAAGAGTTATCAAATGATAAGTTTAAGGAGCTCAACTAAGCCAGCAAGAACCACAACTGCTCCAACTTTTGAAGACATGGGCAATATCTGGGACTTAAGTTCTCTGGGTTGTTTTATTTCCTCGTCCTGCCCCTTGTTACTGTCTTCTCTGTCACTTTTGGGGGGATATATCTGTCACTGTGACTCATATGGAAAAAGTGAGGCTTCAATGTTTGGCCAAACCGTTGTCGCCTCCTTTGAGAAGCCCAGTCTACACGCCGGAACACCGATGTACGTTCAGAAACGGCGCTGTATAACTGCAAACTTCTTCCAGAAGAGCCGCAAACCCTCCACAACCGAGGCTCGGGGTTACGAAGCATCCCTGCTCCCCGTGCCAGAGACAACTGGGAGCAACCAAGTCCCGTTTTAGGGCGATTTCTAGCGCAGGGTCTCTGCTGAAGGGTGCTTTTCGCCGCTTTCGCGGCCGCTCCCCGCCTTTGGCGTTCGGATGGCGCAGGGACTGGGCACCCGCTGCCTCCACAAGCGCCCGGGAGCGCGGGGCTCCCGGCAAGGCCCAAGCGCCGGCGCCACGGCAGGAGCGGCTGCGGGCACCCGTGCTCCGGGGCCACCCTGTTTATATTTATAGGCATTCGCTCATCGCCGCCATCTCCGTTCCCCTCTGATCTGCCACACACCGGGGCTGCCAGGCCCGTCCCACGCGTCCCCACCGACACGCCATGACTCTCCGTTGCTGCCTGGGCGCCGCGGTGCCGGTAACGGCCCCCTCCCTCCCTCCCTCCCGCCCCCGGCCCCTACTCACGCCGCCATCGCGGGGCTGCGGCCCGCGGGGACAAAGGGGAGGCCGCGGCGCTCAGCGGAGCCCGCCGCGCCGCCCTGGGCCGCCCGCCCCGCCGCGGCCCCCGCCATGGCGCCGCCGCGGCCGCGCCGCCGCCGCCGCCTGCCCGCGCAACCCGCGCAACTCGCGGCCCCGCTCGCGGCCCGCACCAGCTCCGCCGCGGGCCCGCTCGTGGCGGCGGCTCCGGGGCAGCGGGGGGCGCCGCTCGCCTCAGGCGCGGCGCGGGCAGCCCGGGAGGGGCGCACTGCGCATGCGCGGGGCTCGCGGAGGGGTGGGCGGGGCCGCTGCGCTGAGGCGATTCCCGCCTCGGAGCGAGCGACGCCTGCGCAGCCTTAATTGCGGCTTTAATTGCGGCTTTAATTGCGGCTTTAATTGGCGCTTAACTGGAGCTGCCCGCCCGGTTGTCCATTGCATGAGACCCCGGGCTGCAGGAGGGGTCGTTGCCCGCTGCTCCTGGCTCCCCTCGGCACCAAGGGCCGCAGCTTGCGGGGTGTTGGGCTGCCCTGCCCTCCTCGCGCCCCTCTCGGCCCGGGGCGCGGGTGCCGGCCGTGTGCGGGACAGCGGAGGTAGGTCCTGGTGCYGCAGCCGAGGGGCGAGCGGCGGGAGAGCTTCCAGCGTGCCGCAAAAGCAAGCAGAGCTTGTCGAGAAGGGAAGTAAGCCCTTGGTAGGGATTAGGCATYGGGCAGGTAGTCTGTAGAACAGTTAATTTGTGGAGTGGATTGAGCATGGTGAAGGCTGSATGAGGGGTACCCCTATCCCTGGARGTGGCCAATATGAGGCCACTGAGACTCATGATGCTTAAGGGCAAGAGGAGAGAGCAGCTGAAACCATCTCTCTGCCCTGCAATCGTATTCCTTCCCCCTCGTGCTTCTCTGTCGCCTCTGCAGCTGACTTGGATGGGTCTCCACAGCCTTAGCAGCCTACCAGGTCTTAYGGGGCAGCTCTGCATGGATGTTCTTGGAGGTGGCAGGCCCTTATGCCTGCAGGCTGGTTAACAGACACACCAAAAAGGCTTCCAGCATGGACACGATGGTTTAGTGCTGACTGTCAGTCCTCAGGTGGAGTGTGGAAAGTGGCTGTGATGGCAGAGAAGCTGCCTCTGCAGAGCCAAGGAAGCAAACCCAGCAAGGAGCAGCACAGATGTACAAAACAGCCGAGTTTATTTTTAACGTTATTCCCCTCACATAAATTACCCCTCTCCAGAAGAGCAGTCTTGCACCTTTTCTAATGCCACATACATGCAATTCAGTAGTCAAAGGTCTTAGATGAGTTTCCCCAGCAGCTGCTTAACTGGGAATGATCTCTAGCTTGCCGAGACCCCCAGAAGTGATGCAGGCAGCAAAATGGAGCAGCAAAGGGGAGAGGAAGCATTTTGCTCCCTTGGCCTCCCCTGCGAGCCCTTGGGCTCTTGCCCCGTGCTCTGTGTTAGCYGACGGGCCCTCTCTCAGAGGGGTGGCACCCCCCTCAATTTGCGGATGACGTTGGCCAGCCGCTTGGCCAGCCCCCCCTTGCTTGGTTCTTCCACATGAAGCGTCCTGGTCAGCAGGTTGTAGAAGGAGCCGTAGCACACGGCCACCACGGTGCAGGTCAGGCAGATGACATTGTAGGGCATGCTGAAGTCCGGCGTTGGCAGGTTCACGAGCAGCGGCTCGGTGTAGAGGCGCACGAAGTAGCTAGAGCCATCAGAGGACGGGAACCTGGGGGCAGGAAGGGGAGCGTCAGCCTGCCCAAGACCCTGCTTAGTGCTGGTCAGCTTGGAGCTACATGAACCTCTGGAGGGGCTTCCACCCTCTCGGAGGTCAGGCCCAGTCCTGGACCTTGGATCATCTTGGAGAGCTGCAGGAGAGGCTGCCAGTGCTGCGAAAAAAGCCAGGACTTTGCAGGAGGAAGGCAGCTCAGGCACGTGGCTGTGCCAGAACTAGCAGCGCCCCTTGTGAGAGCCCCTGGCTGAACATCCTCCAGCCGCTCCCCAGTGTCTCTGCAGGCTGGCAAAGCCCAGGCAGGATGGCTGCTGCAGCCCACTCGTGCGCCCTGCAGGAWACCCCAGGAGAAGGGCATACTCACAGCGAGGTGAAGAGAGGGCTCTGCTCCATATCCAACTCCTTCATTGCAATGACACTGGGCACCAGGGCACTCAGTACGGATGAGCTAAGGAGGCAAAAGTCATCGTTAGTGTCAGTCCTGCCAGCAAAGAAACAGTGGGAAATGTCCCCATTCCCAGATTCCTGGGCAACAAATTCTGTACAAGGCCCAGAAGGAGGCAAGAACTCTGGCTCATGTTGAGGTCTTTACCTCACGTAAAAGCCATGATTAGGGTCAGGTGGGTACTCGGTCCACTTCAGCAAAGCCCGCTCAAACTGGATGGTGATCTTGGTGACGGAGTTGGCTGGAAGCTGGATCAGCATTTCCAATAGGTGAGGCCGTCTCCGGTCCTGAGCCGGCTGGTAGTGGATATAACCTAACCCCAAAGACAAGTGTCTGAGACAGCAAGGGAACCTTGCCCAGTTTCAGATTGCCTAGAGACTTCCTACTGGGTGAATAATCTTGCTTCCACTGTCCTGCAAGAAGTGKTTTTTTTGTGAGAAAAGGTGCATGCGTAGCAAGAAGTGTGAGTGAAAGTTAAATCTGGCCTTAATAGCTAGGTCTAAATAGCTCATGACCCAAGAAAGTCGACGGTTTGTGGCAAGAAGCACAAATGCAAAACCAGATTAAATAATCAGTGTGGAATTGAGGTTCCTTGAAATGTAAAGAAGTCAGCTGACTTTTAGAGCCTCGCTGGATTATGGAACATTGTCCATTTTGCCCTTTTAAAATTGATTCTCTTCAGCCCCAGCAGTTGCAAGTGCTGAACTGAAAATTGTTTTTCTTATACTAGCTCTACTATCATGTCCAGTTTCACAGTCATCCCTGGGATACCAGGGAGGAACTTAATCATCTCTGGAATGAGCCGCTTGCGCCAAAGTAATCGGATGGCACGTGTTCCCGGGAAGGGCTGCTTACTTGGCTTGTTCTCTTTGCCCTTAGTGATGATGGTCAGAGTGTGCACGTAGAGCCGCAGATACCACGGCACAGTCTCCAGCAGGATCACGGGGAACGCCCGGTACGGGTGAGTGTTGTAGATGAGAGTGCTGATTTTGCCGGTCTGCAGCCCGTATCCGCTCACRTAACGGTGAGCATGGAGTACTGGTGTCGACAGCTCCACTGCAAAAGAGAAAAGCAAACAGGAGTCAGGAGCTGATGCCAACTGTAGCTCTGCCAGGCATCAGCCTAGTGCCAAAAAAACCCCAGCACTTTCCCTAGGCAGAAGCCCACACCAGCTGAGGTGAAAGAGGACAAGGCAGGACAGCCTTCTGCCTGTTACAGTCCTCCTCCCCAGCAAGAACTGCCTTCTTCYCCAAGGCCCAAGCAATCCAACTATCTCCTGCACAAGCTGGCATGTAGAGCCCTCCACAAAGGTGCAGGTGGAATAAAGTTCCGGTGACTTACAGCTGTCCTGGGGCCATGTCATCTTCAGCTGCACATTGAGGCTGCGAGATGTATTGAAGAGTGAGGGACTCAGCAGGTCATAGACTGCATAAGTTCTCTTCTCTCCCTGGACAATCGCTTCATGTAGAGATGTTGGAGAAGGGGTCACTTCTACCAACTCCTTTTCCTGAGAAAGAAATGGACCATGCAAGGAAAAATCCCCCTTGTAGGAAGAGCTGGGCAGTGCCTGTTTAAGAAGTGGTTAACCCTGAGCTCTACTACCCACTGGCCTCCTCTGCACTCTTGCTAACATCACCGCACTAAACCTGAGCACTTCGGAGAGGTTTGCTTGGAGCAATAAAATAACTGTAGTCACATCCCTTCATTAGATCAGGGAGGTCTCCCAGTCTGGGCACAGATAAAATTGCTCCAGAGTCCCAAGGAGCAGCTGAACAGAGAGAGTGGATTCTCTCATTCACAGCGTTACCTTGTCCTTAACAGAGGTGTCCACGTAGATCTTGCTCTGCGATGCCAGAGGACATGCTTCAGTGATCGTACGGGAGAACATCTTAAAGAGGGACCAGTCTGCAGGAGACAAAGTGAGCATCAGGCCAGGTGAAGTGAGCTCCGGGACATGGGGACCACGGCGCAGCAGGGCCAGCTCACCTTTTTTTCCTTGGGTGCCAGAAAAGTTCTCAAAGACCACAGTGAGGGTCTGCCTGAGCTCCCAGGAAACGGCCTGACAGGAGGCATCCTGCAGGGGAGATCAAGGGACTGCTCTGATTGCACCTACCGCAGGCACAGGGCAGCAGTGGGAGTGTCCGAGTCCCGTCAGGACAAGGCTAGAGCAGCAGGACAACACCTCTGTTAAAACTGAACCCATCACTGGGCAGCACAGCATGACACCTTGCTGTCACAGCAGGGAGGCTTCTGGTTTTCTCTTGGACTGTGTTAAATGGGCCAGGGACTCGGCACTAGGAATACTGACCTAATTTACAGCCTCTGTTTCATTTTCAAAAGCATCAGGAACCGTGCCAGGCTGAGTGAAAGCAACTCTGATCGCAGGTCCTGGGGCGAGGACCAGGCACGGGAGGGAGCCGCGCGCTTACCCTGCAGATGGGGCGGATGTGCACGGCCTGCGAGTGGTAGCTGCTGTGGAACAAGCGCTCAGCCTTGAGCAGCACGGCAAGACCCGCCTGCGGAAGGGAAGGAAACATTTCACTCCACAGGCCGCTCTCCGTCCCTGCCGAGAGGACAGGACCCTCCCGCGGCCTCCACTAAACGACATTTGGTTGCAGTGGGGAACCTGACTCCATACTGAGCGACCCAACAAGGCAGCAGGACTTGCCCTCACCTTAGAGCCACATGGTAGCAGCTTCTTCCAAGGCGTAAGGTTTTCCGTGCAGACGACCTCCCGCGGCAGGACGGCATAGCGCAGCAGCCGGTGATCCGTCCCTGAGCACAGAAGTGGAGAGTTAAAGGGCTGACACTGCCAGGGCAGGAGAGCAGAAGGAGACCTGCATCATCCTCCAGTGTCCCCAGGGCAAACCACCCACTGAACCTGCCTGGAATGTCCTGAACTTAGTGAAGAATGGAGCCTCGCTCTGTTTAGAGAGCTTTGGAGTGAACAGGTAGTGCCTATCTCCTAGCAGATATATATATATACATATATAAAAAGACCTTTAAATACTCCAGTCTTCACCAGGTGTTGTAAAATGCCTTTCAGAGAGTTGAGGGCCGTGAAGCATGTACCGCTTGTGGGTTCCTCTCTTCATATCTAAGCCTCATGAGCAGAGAGAGGAAACGCTTCCACAAGGAAGTTAATGTGGGAGTTCAGTTGGCAGCAAACATGCACACGCGACCTGATACCTAATACTGCAGCTGGCATTAACTGACCCCCGACAGCAAAATTAGCCAATGGAGAGGGCAGAACAAGTACAATGAATCTCCCACCCCTCCACAGAGGCAGCTAGCAAGGAAGCCCCCCTAGTACTTGTTCTGGGGTCAGGTTTTCTCCTTCTAGGGACATCTCGTCGCACTGACAAGTGGCTCCAGAGAAAACAAACAGACCAAGAATCCTTGCCAGATCAGTGTCATGCAGCAAAGCCAGCCCCTCGAGGAGCACTGCTCTGTCTCACCATTGGCCAAGCCCAGGGGCTTGAAGGACGCTGTTGGAGTAACGCTGTTGGTGGAGTCGATGAAGTTCAGAGAAGCACAGAATATCCCTGAAAGGATGTTACTTAGCTCCTTCCAGGCTTTGTCCACACTGTGCAACAAAAGACACCGCGAGTGACGCAGCAGTTCTGACCCTCTGAATAGCAATTCTCAGGTCAGTAACGATAAACGTGGGGGTGGCCACACTGGAGTCAGGGAGCTGCAAGGAGATCACAGCTCCTGTGGGCGGTGCTTGTTGTCACTTGCTCTCCAGCTTCCCTAGTATTTTATTCTAAGGCCTGAGAGGTGGGGGACTGGGAAGTGACTGTCTTGGTGAGCAGGATCATGGGATGAAGCTGCAATGAAAGGACCATGAAACCTCACCATGAAACAGCTTTGAGCATGAGCCTGGCACCAACAGATGTCAGACTGTGGCAACCAACTTAGGGTGATACCCTAGCACACCAAATAGGTACAAGGATGGGCCCTGCTTGGGAGCACGGGTGTTCTTCTCTGCTGTGACAGTCGTGGCTTCAAGCTTTGGTCTTGCTCCACTTATTGCAGTCAGTGGACCAGCAGGGCTTCCTCCAGGCGGGGTCTGGGACAGGCTTGGGAAGCAGGGCCATGTGGGAGGCGATGTGGAGCATGTGGGGACAGCATTTGTGGAGACAAAGCAGCGGCAAGGCTTGAGCGCTGCTCTTAATGCTCGAGCCAAGCGGCAACCCCACAAATGGGGCTGCTGTCAGTGCCAGGGAGCTCTGCAAATGCAGCCGGGGCCACTGGCTGAACTGCAGGAAACACACACGGGCAGGGGGCAACGGCCGCTGGAAGGGGGTCTGAGGAAGTGAGTCAGGGATGAGAGCTCAATTGAAACTCTCATAATACAGCCACAGCGAGCGGCTTGTGCCGCCCGGGTGCGAAGGCCTTTGTTCCACTCCTGAATGCAGCTTTATCCGGCAGCGCAGCATCCGGCCCCTTCCCGTGGCACAGAGCCGCTCTTGGCCTTGCGGGCCAGGACCAGTGCGGATCAAGCAGGGCCCCGTTGGGCAGCTCGGGGGAAACATCCGCAGCTCCCGCCGCGCCGGGCCCGTTCCCACGCGCTCCCAGCCCGCGCCCACTCCCAGAGCTGCGCGGTACCTACTCTGCCACGGTGTCCTGGAACCAGACCCAGAGCTCGGCGCCRGCGGGCGCCTGCAGCGGCGGCTGCCCCCAGATGCGCGTGCGCCAGAAGCCCTGCGTGAGCGCGAGGTGCAGCTCCCGCACGCCCCGCGCCGCCACCAGCTGCCCCAGCGCCTTGGGGAAGAGCCTGTAGTGAGAGACTGGGGTGCCACGGGTTATGTCATCGTGCCGCTGCTGACGTCATTGTGGCGCAGCTGATGTCATCATGCCTGCCCTGCCTTGCTGATGGCATCACAGCACCCTCCCCCTGACCTCAGCCACACTGTCACATGTGCCCTGTGTTGCTGAAGTCATGGCACCCTGCATCCCCATCTGACGTCACCAGCTGGCCCCACCCCTGCTGACGTCACTACACCCATCCCATAGTCTCAACAGGGCCTGCCCAGATGGCATCGCCACCCCAAGCCCCGCCCTGTTCACGTCATGACAACAGTCACTCCCCCTCGCACGTAGGTTGTCGCTCTGTCCCCACGCGAGCACGTGCCGCGCGCGCACGTCATCGCGCCAAGCCCCGCCCCCTCACGCCGCCACCCGCGCTGCGCGCTACGTCACGGCCTCGCCCCGCCCCTACCGGGCGCCGCGTCCCAGCGCGTGCGGAACTGGAAGGTGGCGGCGATGCCGCCCGCGGGCAGCGGGCTCAGCAGCAGCTC